GCTTTGAAAGGTTTTGGGCCTTGGGATTTGCGCCGGCCCGGCTGCCGAGGCGTGCAAGCATTTTCAATTACAATGGTGTGGTATAGTACAGTACAATAGCATGCAAGACTGAGCTTAACGCCCGTCAGGCAAACAATCTCTTCGGAAAACTGGCCCTGCAACCCGGCAAGTTTGCGAGGTGAACACGGCAAAACCCCCGACAAGCATTCTAGGGTTTCGGGATTTGCGAGTTTAGGGTTGAAGGTTAAGGCGTTTCGGGTTTAAGGGGAGGGCGTCATCACGTTCCTCGCCGATCCCCAGCATCAGCTCATCGAACAATGCTGCATGGCATCTTGAATCCGACAGTGCTCAACCCTAAACCTTAAACCTTGAACGCAAAACCAAAAAGCCTTCCCGAAATAAGTCCAAAATGAGCCAAATTCCTTGAAAAAGGAGCTCCTAAACCCTAAGCCCTAAGCCCTAAGCCCTAAACCCTAAACCCTAAACCCTAAGCCCTAAACCCTAAACCCTAAACCCTAAACCCTAAACCTCTACCTACATAAATATATCTGAATATAAATATAAATAAATAAAAAAAAATATATATATATATAAACCTTAATGGGGTCGTCTGGCTTTTTTGCACTTTCGTGGTTCCTAAATCCTAAATCCTAGATTCTAAATCCTAAATCCGAAAACCCAAAACCTAAATCCAAAATCCTAAATCCTAAATCCTAAAACCTAACACCTAAATCCTAAATCCTAAACCCTAAATCCTAAGTTGTCCCGGGGCGGCACCTCCCGGGACAAATGTCCCGGGGCCCCCCCCGGGACTGTCCCGGGGCCTCCCCAAAAACGCCCCGGGACGCCCCCAGGACATTGTCCCGGGGACTTCCCGGGACGCCGAAATTTTTGAAGCAAAACACTATTCGGGGCCAAAATTCCGACCCCCCCTTGAAGGGGAAAGTTTGCTGGGCCCCTGAAACAGCCGATTTCAGTACTCCTGTTTTGGGTGTTTTTTGAAGCCTTTATGGGCTTTTTAAAGCCGTTTGGGGCTGTGGTAGTGCTTTGGTAAACCGGAGGAGCCTCGAAACCGCCGATTTCAGTTTACAGCACTCTCATTGCGGGAGCAGCAAATCCCGGGTCCCCCCTTTTGGGTGGTTTTTGAAGCCTTTTGGGGCTTTTGAAAGCTATTTGGGGTTGTGGTGGTGCGGGGGTAAAATGGAGGGGGCCCGAAACTAACAGCATTTTCCATTGCGGGAGCAAGCAAATCCTGGGTTCCACCTTTTTTGGGTGTTTTTTGAAGCCTTTTGGAGCTTTTTTAAGCTATTTGGGGCTGTGGTAATGCTGTAAAATGGAGGGGCCCCGAAACCGTCGATTTCAGTATTAAAAACACATTTTTCATTGCGGGAGCAAGCAAATCCTGAGGTTCAGGGGATTTAAGCAATAAGAATTGAGATGGTAAATAGGGTTGCCAAACGAAAGGGATTCTAGGTGGGTGGGGTGATGCCAAACACCCTTGCTGAATGCCTGGATCAGAGATGCTGAACCCTAAACCCTAAACCCTAAACCCTAAACCCTAGACCCTAGACCCTAGACCCCAAACCCTACACCTAAACCCTAAGCCCTAAGCCCTAAACCCTAAGTAAACCTTAAACCCTAAAGCCTAACCCCTAAACCCTAAACCCTGAACCCCAAACAGTGCGCCACGTGGCGTTCCACGTAGTGGTGGTCCCGTGGTGGTGGCCCCGTCCCGTGCTTGTGGTCCGGGTGGTGTTACGGTGGTGGTGGTCCGGCGTGGTCCGTGGTGGTGGTTCGTGGTGGTGGTGGTCCGTTGTGGTCCCGTGCACGTGGTGGTCGTTGGTGGTGATCCCATACGGTGGTGGTCCCGTGGTGGCCCGTGGCGGTGGTCCGTGGTGGTGGTCCGTGGTGGTGGTCCGTGTGGTGGTCCATGGTGATGGTCAGTGTGGTAGTCCGTGGTGGTGGTCAAGTGGTGGTGGTCCCGTGGTGGTGGTCCGTGGCGGTGGTCCGTGGTGGTGGTCCGTGGTGATAGTCCGCGGTGGTCGTGGTTGGTCCGTGGTGGTGGTGGTCCGTGGTGGTCGTGGTTGGTCCGTGGTGGTGGTCCGTGGCGGTGGTCCCGTGGTGGTGGTCCCGTGGTGGTGGGCCCGTTGGTGGTCCCGTGGTCGGTCCGTGGTGGTGTCCGTGGTGGTGTCGTGCAGGTGGGTCAGATGTGGGTTCGACTACGCAAGAAAATGCACAATGATCCGATTGAACCGTACGAAAAAACAACGGCTTTCTCCGCCCGCGCACCGACATTTCGTTTATACTACGTTATATTTACGTTATAGGTGACTGCTTTCTGCATTCGGGTTCGTGGCTCCTATCAGGTTGGTTTTTATTTGGCTTTCTACTGGTGTTATTGATTTTCTATTGGTTTTTATTGGTTTTTAATGGTTTTCTAGGTTTTCTATTGGTTGATATTCGTTTTCTATAGGCTTTTATTTGGTTTTCTATTGGTTTACATTGGTTTCTATTGTTTTTCTATTGGTTTGTGTTGGTTTTCAATTGTTTTTTATTTGTTTTTGTTGGTTTTCTATTGGTTTGTATTGAAGTTCTATTGGTTGTCATTGGTTTTCTTTTGGTTGTTGGTTTTCTATAGGTTTTTTCTATTGGTTTATATTGGTGTTCCCATAGGATTTTATTGGTTTTCTATTGGTTTTCTATTTGTTGTTAATCGATCTATATAGGGTATGATCATATAGATCATATATAATAAACCGTATAAACCCTAAACCCTATTATAAACCCTAAACCCTCAACCCCTAACCCCAGCTAACGTGGCCAGCAACACGGATCACGCAGTGCATGCCTTGATGTGTGGGCTTCGTCCTTGCGCGTGACAAGGAGGTGATTTCAAGGCTTCATCGTCCATGCCAGGGGATTGTGTTGGATACTTCGATGTTTCCGAGGTGCGTGTTTCAAATTAGCCTGAGCGAATTGCCAATGCTATGGCGATCTCAACGGTATTGATCGTGTGTTTTCCGCCAGCCATTTCGCATATCTGGCAAGCAACGTGAACGAACCCAAGAAAAACCCTAAACCCTAAACCCCCATTAGGACGTAGGGTTCAAGGTTGACAAGCGGAAAGGGTCCGCTGGACCCTAGAGCTTCGGGCCCTTTCCAGCGTTTTCTGGCCGTCCGATATCGCCTCGGCCACACTTTTCGCGATATGAAGCGGATTCCACCTATGTCTTTGGATTGTCTTTGGTGCGTCCACAGCTTAGCTCGCCATCCCAAGAATTGGGGTGTGGGGCTTGGGATTACTTGCCTTCAAGCAGGCCCTGATGAAGTCCCCTGGCCGGAGACGAAGTCTCAGTGAGGACCCTTGTGCGAGCCTGCTGGACGAAAACAAGAAGACCAGCATCGAAACATCAGTCACACCGATCACAGCAACAACCAGGAATCATGCTAGCGCAGCCGCATTCGTGAACACACGTGGAGAGAAAAACCATTAAAAGCAAAACCCCAAACCTTTAGCCCTTCAAGCCTCGCACCCTCAAGCCCTCGACCCCTTATCCCCGAAAACCCATATGATGAAGTAGTTGCCGACTCGTTGGCCGACTTGCGATGCTCATCGACCTGCAGCTGCTGCGTCTCGATCCATGCTTCTTGCATCTTGGCAAACCGTCTCTCAAGCTGCGCGACTGTCAGCAGCAGAACTCCAAATTCTTCGCCAGGTCGCCGCAACCTTCGGTGAAAAACACGCTCTCGTTGTTAGCCATGGGAATCGGTATCCCATTGATGCTCCTCATGTCCGCGTTCTCAAGTTTTCGGAAACCACTTCCTCAATCATCCTGTTCGAGATTGAGTTTTGGGAGTCGCAAAACCTGATCGGGGCGTTGATTTCGGATAGTTTGAAGGCCAGCGAGGTTGTCCAACAAGCAGCCAGCAACAACATGTTGAAGCATACCTTTTGCTTCACTGAAAGCACTTCAAGCTATCCAAGCGCCTTTGACATGCTCTCGCGAAACTGGGATGCTGAGATACGGGGTTGCTTGCGCAGATAGCCTACCGGAGGAAGAACGGCAAAGGATTCATCAACCTATTGCAGTCACCAGGACCAGGAAGCTTGCCAAAACTGCATTAAGAACACACTTATAGCACCTCATGAACATACAAGTTCGCGTTGATGGTTTAGGGGTGGTTTAAGGTTTAGGGTAGATTCATGCAGCCAAAACCTAAAATCACTGAGGACAGGTTAAATGATGCCACGCTGCTCTGCCGCAAACGTCTGGCTCAACCCTCTCTTTCCTTTTCACCACGCGGGACTCTAGGGATGCATTTTGCATGCCTCGTCTGTTCGTCTACAGCACTGCTCACCGTATCAGTGAGCAGTGCACGTTGAAACTAAATCTAGACCCGGAGCAAACCCGTACACCCTAAAACTGAATCCGGTAGAAAATCCTAAACCCCAATCTAAATCCGGAACAAATCCTCGCTGCTGGCCTCCCCGAAACCTCGTCGCTCCTCCTTTCTCACCGAATTCTTCGACTGCAGGCGGACGGCAATTTGCTTGGCGCGCAGCTCCAGATCTTCCTTCGCTCTTGAGAAAAAGGGCTCCCTTTAAGGGGCCCTTTCAGCTTTAAGCGGTCCGTTTATGATATAGGGACCTTGAGGGGGTTAAACTGGGGGGTCCTTTCAAGCCTACGTCATCAGGGTATATAGGGTTTTTTCTTGAAAAAGGGATCTTGATGGTTCGCATAAGGTTCTTGTCAGGGCGCGTCTACGGGTTACTACAAGTTGAGCGGAGGATTAGAGGATATCGGGGCCGTTTGAACTATGGCTGAACGGTCCTGAAAAGGCTACAATCCAATCAGAGTTCTAAGATCGAGGGGTTTTTAATACTTAGAATAGGGTTCCTTTTCCTTAGAAATATTGCAAATATTCCGGCCTCCGTATTAGGCCCTCAAAAAAAAGTACGACAAGTTTTGGGGTTTATTGCCAAGGACAGGCCTTAAGTTTCAGTATGCCCAAGCGTCTTGAGTGCTGGAGTAGGACTGAGGCGCCAAGACGCTCGCAATCTCCTGGAAGACAGCTTGTAGGACAGATGCGTAGGTTGCCAGCTCTGCGTCGGTGAAAGCTCCTGCCACTCCTTGTACCGCATTCTCGTAGGGCTCTGTCGGGACGGCGAAATCAGGCTCTGACAAGATGGGAAAGATGGACGGCTGCGGCCAGGGAAGGTTGATGAGCCAAGATGCAACGGCCTCCGAATGGAAGCACCCGGAAGAGCAAATCAGGAGTGCTTTCACAGCATAGTCCGGAAAGTCTTCCCCTGCTTTCAGGACCATTGGAGACAGTCGAACTTCTTTGCCCAATTTCAAAAGCTCAAGAAGTATATGTGCGGTTGCAACAGCCTCCTGATTTGCAGGATCCACAAGAATGACGCAGTCTGGGCGAGCTGATCTCCTCTCCAGAGATGGCAGCACCGTACCCGTTAGGGCATCGCAGATCTTCCCAATACCTGACTCTAAGAACCCTACAGTAGTGATCAGTAGTGATCTCCTGCCTCAGTTTAGGGTTTAGATGGGTTTAGGGTTTAGGTTTTCAGAGCCAGGCTGCTCTCCGTATCCAGCGAAGCAGGGAAAGGAAAGGAATCCAAAGTCTTCATCCAGTGCAAAGCGCTCGAGACATCATCCAGGGATATGCTGTAAGCTGTTAGAGCCTCAATGCCGGGAATAGCGAATGAGAGATCCTCCTGCCTGGTCGCACTCCAGTCCATGAAATTCGGCCATCTGACGACAACACTGTGAACCTGAGATCGCCCCCCCCCCCCCACACACACAAACCCACACACCCGAGTTTGCGCTAGGCAGCTCCTATAAAAGGCAACACAGGGGCGCAGTTCAGGGTATCACCTAAGATGGTGGGCGTAGGCTCTGGGAGCCAGAGCAGCCTTGTGTAACTTGGCGGTGACGACCTCGCCCACACACCATTTGCGCCCCATAATGCCTTAGCTTGCTTATGCCTATGCTTCCTGTCGCCAACTCCCGTTCCCATCTGGGTGGCGGCGAGATGCCAAAAGAAAAAACTGCACAAGCAGAAGCCAAAATTCCTGGGCTGGCCAAGATAATGAGAGTCTCCGTGTCCCTGACGAAATTGAAGAGTTCCGTGAGATCCTGTAAGTTGTCGGTGTCCAAGAAGACATTGAAGGTGGAGCCCGCTGTTGCAGCCGGATCTTCAGAAGCCGCGCAAAGCTGCCGACTGCCTTGGGGACTAAATACCCAACCGTATACTACTATACATACTACAATAATTCCTATTCGGTTATATGAATTTTATGAATTGGAAACCCTGGAGGATATATTTCGTCCCCAGGGTGCAAGCTTGTGATGGGAGATGAAGAAGCGCCAGGGCTTCCGATTCTGGCGGACGAGGTAGAGGCCCAGTCCGTAGAGAATGGCGACGGCCACTGCGACGACCATCATCAGCACGAAGAACCTATACTGAGAATGATAGATTTTAGCTGTTTCTTAGCAATTAAGGTACCCAAATATTTTAAAAAAATTCCACGTATCCCTAAGGAACAAGGAGATGGCAGTTGCCTGAGCCAGGCTGGCCCTATCAACGTCGTGGCCGGCAAAGAGGGATGCCATGTAGAGCACCACCTGTGCAACCCCTAACATCCCTGAAAAACCAGAATCTCCACTCAAACCGTCTCTAAGCTTCCGTTCTGTCTCCGATGCCCCCCTCCCAGCGTATCTGATGACGCGTGGGCCCTGAAACCTCAAGGCCCAGATGTATTGAGTATTTGCGTCACTTTGTGTACCCGGGCTCTCTCAGCAGGTCAATGCGGGGCGGCATCTGCAGCATTCTGCAGCATTCTGCAGCCTAGGTACAAGCAAACCCACGTGGAGCACCGTGTCGAGCACGTTGCTTGCGGGAACTCGCCAGGGTTGGCTCACGGTCACCGCGATTAAGCTCACGTAGAGGAGCATGTTAAGCACGACCAGCTTCACTGAAACCGAGGGAAGTAACGGGCACAGCACCATCAGCGCGTTTCCTCTGATGTTCCCCGACATTATCTTTTAACGTACAGTATCCCGTTGGTGATTCGATTTTCGCCGGGCAGCTCACTTGCATGAAGATGACGAAGCGCTCCCCTCCCGGCCGAAAGCGCAACCAAAGGAACGAACATGCCCGGCAGTAGGTGGCATCGGCCCGAAGCAGCCTTTTTGGAAGCTCCAAGTGGATGATCCAAATGCACACAGCCAGAAAACACAGTGGCATCAAGCACGCCGCTGCGCCGATCACGCTCATCTGCAGGTGTGCATCACGCAGGTTGCAGAACACTGAGGCATACTGTTGAACGGTCCTCGGCTGTTAGATCTCTGGGAGGCTTCGCTTCGGGCCAGGTGTGAAACCTTGCTCAGCGGCTTTTGGGGGCTTCTCTGCTGGCCATCTCTGCAAACGCTAAACTCCCAAATCTCCCGAAACCCTAAACCCTAAAAAACCCTAAACCCTCAACTCCTCAAAACCGTGAGAACTTTTCGAGAAGCCCAAGGCTCCTCCGGCCGTTTGGGTGGGAGTTGCACTGGAAGGGCGTGACCAAGGCCGTGAAGATTCCGATGAAGAGCAGGGACACGAGGGATCCCACCGTCCGCAGCAGCTGGCTCGCATCCAGCCTCACCTCTGGCTAGGATGGCCCTTAAACACCTTCTGAAAAATATTCCTGAAAAGGGTCCTCTTCAACCCCATAAGGGAAAACACAAAACTTCACAAGGGCCAAACCTCTGGGCTTCTCAAAGGAAGAACAGAGCAAGGGGGCTGCCTGTTTTTGAGGGATTTCCTGGGTTTCTTGGACTTTTCGAAATCTATGTCTGTCTCTGTCTATCTATCATCTGTATATATATATATATATATAAATAGATATTTGTATCTATAAACATAGATCTACAAATACAACAAAAGAAACAAATACAATATGGGTCTGTCACTTTCTCTCAAACTCCCGCCTTCAAGCCCGGCCGTACATACCTTTTGAAAGCCACCGCCACGAGGTGCACCACCAGGGCGATGCAGGCAAGTATGGGTGTAACGGACACAGAGAGAACATACTTCAGGACCGGACTGACAGTTGCAACGCATGAGAATGCAATCATATCCAAATCCACGCCCAAAACCGCCAGGCCCTTCAGAATCTCATTGATGGGCTCGTGCCACTCGATGCCCAACTTGCTCACGACGAGCAGCTGCTGGATAAGGGTCACAAGCTGGCTTAAAGCTACAATGCCCACGAAGAAATGGCCGGGTTGCGTAGCGCGGTCTGCTTGAAGCGCCAGGACGACATAGACCAGAGCGATGCAGAACCTTCTCAGACAAGCGAGAAGAACACCTTCATCCTCAATCCCGAACCTTTTAACCTACCATTCGTTGCAGAGGAACACCAGGGCTAAGACGACCAGGCCGAAAATAGCATAGGACGTGGCGATGCACCGGCCGCAGGACCCATCTTGAAGCGGCATTCGCCCCGGCAGACATTCGGAGCACCTGGCAGGGGATAGAACCCTTCAACGCAACCCCTACATCAAGTTCCTCATCCTTCTGGAACCCAACAGTGCCCAAAAGCCGAAGACTCATCGTGACGAGCCCCACAAAAATACTCAACTGCAACCCTGGACACGTAATCGTCCCAGGATCTCGCCCGGGTGCACAAGACCCCGGGGGTCCACCCGAACAGCGGGAGGCTCGCCCAAAGCATCGGTAAACCATTCCTGAGTGCAATAACTTGGACTTGGGGCCCTACCTAAACGGCCCAAGTGTACACCTAGTGAGGTTTTGGTTCAACAGACTATGCTCTGAATAGTCAGGATAGTCTGTAAGTACAAAAACCTAAAGCCCCAGTACTGTATTGGGAACCTTCGGATAATTTGTTGTTTCCCCCCAAGTCCTGGACCTTAGAAGATGAATGTTTGGGCTGCTGTTTCCCACAGAACGCCTCCGTGAACCCCAAACCCCATCCGGGAGCCAGGACTTTGCTTGTCAACTTTTCGGGTTAGACCGGAAAGTCCTGAACAACCCCAAGCGCCAACCCTAACCCTAAACCCCCCCAAAAAAAACAATTCATAACCCAAAAACAAACCTGGATTATTTACACGGCCTAGATTTGGAGCAACAAGAGCATGGCAAAAGCTGCGAGGAACGAGCGACGCTTGGCCGATGTCTTCTCTCCTTGTTTCCTTATCTCTTTCTTCTTGTTTTCCTGCTTTCTTTCTACCTCTCTCTCTCTCTCTTTCTTCCTTCTGCTTTTCTTTCCTCATTATTTCTTTCTTTCTTTCTTTCTCGTTCTCTCTTTCTCTCTCTCTCTCTCTCTTTCTCTCTCTCTCTCTCTCTTTCATTCCTTCACTCCTTCATTCTTTCATTATTTCTTTATTTCGGTCTTTATTTCTTTCCTGTGCAGGAAAAACCAGGAAATATGTATGTGTATATATATGTATACACAAATAAACAAATATGTCTATACATATATATATATATATAGTCACCCCCCCCCCCCCCCCCCATGACAGTGTGCATGTTGCAAATGCTCGACAAGTATTCTTAGAGCGACTTATATCGGCTTGTGCACATGCTTGGCTCTCGCAGAGGTGTGTTGTATTCCTGCTGTCGCTTCGACTCAGACCTGTGTGTTCTCCGCATTCTCGTCCTCCTGGTATAAGGTGCAGTTTGAATACTAAAATCTTATGAAAAATGTTACTTACTGTTTATGCTTCAAACATATAACCTGTATATATTACACCCAGAGAGTAAACATATTACATCCTCTATGTCCATCTTGACTTCCTCGCTCTCATCCTCGGTTATGCCTTCGAAGTGATCCGGGTTGGGTCGGCGTGGTGTGCTTCCATCTCCCGTGCGAGCTCATCCTGAAAGTCTTGTGTGAAACTGGTAGATTGTGAGGCCTTGCGTGGGGCGTGGCGAGGTCATGCTTCCCGATGCCTCCAGGCTCTTGCTCCAGGTGCTTTCAAGATTTGGCTTCTTCTTGGTCATGAAGTTCCTTCTTGATGTTCCTAGGAGAGTGCGTCTGGACTTGTGAATGGGAGTGGATTGCCAGGGTCATTGTCAACATGGCGTCAGCCTCTGTGCATGCGCTTCAATGAACTCGTGGGGCTCCAACTTGCAAGCAGACGGTGCGTTGGGCAAATGTGCTGCCGCGGCACATGTGCAGCATGACCTTCTCCTGATGCTTGGAATTTACGAATTGCCTCCTGAAGCCATGCTGCTTCCCATGCCGCACACTCTTCGGAGTTCTCGGGCGGAGGCCCACCCATACGATAGTTTGCGAAACGAGGCTTGCAGTCTGCGAGGAGAATGTCTTTCTGGGACCACCTGATTGATCTCCTGCTCCGAGGGAATGCGAAAGTACACATGCTCTTTTGCGAAGACGATGAAGACGGCTCTCTTCAGGATAGCTTGTTGATCCGGAATGGGGATATGGCCAATCGACGGGCGAACGATTTTGATGAAGTCCTCATGACTGATGATGAGAGAGTCGGGAGTCCCTTTATCTTCAGGGATGTGGACGAAGCTGTACGAGTTATCTTGCGCTCTTTCAGGACGGTCTCTACATCACCTACATCGGAAAACGCCTTTTCTTTTTGATGGGCTCATCCTGGTGCCATCGTCAAAGATCGGAAACCAGTTTTGTGAAGTGAACACCTCTGAAAAAGTCAAAGTCCGAGGCTGAGCGAAAGGCTCCTGTGCCGCCATGGTGTCGCGACATCATCATGGCAAGGATTCTCGCCAAAGGGGTTTTACCTTTACCCGGCTCACCTAACACCCAAATGCTGTGATCTACCAAGTAGGGGACGATAGCGAGAGGTGAGCGAGGCTAAGCAGCCTTCATTCGCCAGCTGATCAAGAGCCTTTTGGACGGTCTTTTCTGCCCCCCCATTGATGGGAGATCCTTCTGAGGTGATGTGTGTGTGTGTGTGTGTCCTCCTCAGTTGCTTCAAGCCTGACTTGTCCAACTCCCCGAATTTCAGGATGAAGTCCCATCCGGCCTGTTCCGCCTGTGCAGCCGCAGCAACGCCACTGCGCTTCTTGTCTGCTCCCAAACTGAAGAAACGAAATTACGTTCCTCCCATTCGTTCTGGCATCCACTGAAAAGCCTTTCTTTCTGTGGACTTGCTCCCCATGTGATTTCATAGCCTTTGCCATAGACTAGTGCACGAACATCTTTGCCACTGATCTTCTTGTCCGATAAGTGATAGTGCTTGACGGCGGTAAACTTGTCATTGTTTTGTGGAATGAGAAACACCTGCCACTGGCACTTGAGTGCGGTTCGATGGCATAATTTTAGGAAGTCTGGTAGTTCATCCCACGCACTGTCCCGGAAGATAGCCTTGAGGTTGTCCAAGTTAAACGCGGTGGGATCCACGTCGGTGACAATGTCAATGACATGCTTCAACGAGAAGTTGTTCACGGAAATCCTAAGCGACAATTCTTACTTGGTTCGTTTTTTACTGCATCTCATATTTCAGATTATTCTTCAATGTGTGTATTAAGCACAAGTGTCCCTCGGATCGGTAAGTTCAAGAGGTTGATCACGCCCGCCGGCATTGGACCCACACGAATATGCCTTGATAGAGTTCTAAGCACCATGTCAGCTGTTGCTTCCGAGGCCGTGGCCATGGTGATGTTGTCTGGATCAACGTGAGCCATGACGATGGGGAATGCGGGGGAGTGCGAAATGCAAATGCTTGATGCTTGTATGGCATCAGAAATGCTTTGTGCACTTAGGTTTGTATGGCATCAACACTTTCCACTTTCATTTTTTTCGGCTCAACACTTTCCACTTTCCACTTTTTTTCGGCCCAACACTTGCCACTTTCCACTTTCCACTTTTTGTTCAGCCTAACACTTTCCACTTTCCACTTTCCTTTTTTTCAGCCTAATACTTTCCACTTTCAACTTTCCACTTTTTTCGGCCCAACACTTTCCACTTTCCACCGTTTTTTCCCTCCTACGGGGGGGGGGGGGTTGGAGGGGGGGGAGAGTGGAAAGCGGAAAGTGTTAGGCTGAAAAAAGTGGAAAGTTGAAAAAAGTGGAAGGTGGAAAGTGTTCGTATGAAAAAAGTGGAAAGTGGAAAGTGTTGCTGTCTTTTTACCACTTGTGGTCTGTCATGGGGGGAGGGGGTGAGCATATATATATATATATATATACTGTATATATTGACCAAAAAACACGGTACCCTCCTAAACCCTGAGCCCTAAACCTACTAAGCCCTAAACCCAGACGAGCTGAAGTGGAACACATCTACAAGCCAGGTCCCGCAAGCTTCGGTTCCTGAACCCCAAACCGGCCTAAACCTGAATCCCAAAGGGACCCTAAAAAGGTAGGAAGAACGGCTGTGCACCTCGGATGAAGGATGTACCGAAACACCAAAATGCCTTCCGCTCCCAGATGTGAAGACCACGAGTCTCTAAAAGGGTAGTTACATCGTTCATATGGGCCCTAAACGGGGTACCTTACGGAGAGCCCGTATAAAGAACCCTAGAAGACCCCATTGGTGCTTCTAGCATTATTGTTGTTGCTATGACTATGATTATCATTATTATTCTGATTATGATGATGATGAGGATGACGATGATGATGATCCTCATAACACCTGAAGCGATATTCGATAACACGCCCCGAAGCCCTAAACCCGACAAGGCCCTATTCGTCTTCAAAGAAAGTTACACTCTGGATGTCCAAATTGTACGTGAAAACTGAAAAATTGAAAATATATGGGGTATATGGGATTTCAAGATGATGGGCGCTCCGGCTGAATCGCATCTGAGGGTCCTGGCTCCTGTGCAGGAAGGAGAAGTTACAGCTTTGGGGGCCTTGCTAATTACTAGTAGGGCTTTTGGGGTTCTAGACCTTGCTGCAGCTATGATAGGAATCCGACAGACTATGTGTTCGTATGCAGACTTGCAGATGATCGCTGCGGGCCCAAGCGGCTGAAGGTTGGGGGGAAATGATCTTATGTAGGTTGCACCAACTGGTTCTCCCGCCGCCCCGCCCTCGAGAACCACGACCCCCTCCATCGACCCAGCAGTCCAACCAGAACGGTTGGTAACCAAAAAAAGGGCCTCAGCAACTAGAATCTTTTTTTGGGGTATAGTGTACCATATTTTCCATAAGCAACGCCCCAAAATAGTATTCGCAAACTTTTTAGGCCAGGAGCCCTGCACCGTGCAGCCTGTCCTCCAGACTGGAGGAGTAGCCCGGCAGCAGCCACAGCTGGCTCCCAACGCAACGGGAGCCACCGATGCACTGCTCGCAAATCCCCTGCTGGTTCAGAAACCTGGGATTGGGGGACGCAGACTTGAAAGTACTCCCCCACCTCGAACCTGTCACACCTTTCTCATCTTACGTTGAAGCTGGATATGACGTGCTGTCGACTGAAGGTTGTGACAAGTGGCCAACCGGCGATGCAAGTGCAAAACGACCCTGAGGTCATTCCTTTCACTTGAACCCATGTGTCCACACCGTCACTTACGACAAGCTGGCTGGTAGTCCAATGCTCACTGCCGCAGGCATGACAAAAAGTCATTCCGCTAGCATTTGCATACCGACCCAGCTCGCAGTAATCACAATTGGCTCTGCCAGAACTGTTTGTGAATGTCCCCGCATCGCACCCCACGCAAGCAGTCCGACCGAAGGCACTTTCGAAAGTTCCTGCAGGACACGGCTCACACGCGAAGGTTGCACCAGTGTCATCTACGACGGATTTGGAGAACCTGCCGGGACGACACGTCGAGCAACCGACCGCTTCAGAGCGGTTGGTGACATATTCCTCCAAGGAGTTTTGCAGCCCTTCACCTGGTAGGCATTGCGTGTCTACAGGAATCCACTCCCTCCACAGACGCCTCTTAAGGCGAACCCAATTGCAGGCAGCAGCCCAAGGAGTGGCTCCTTCATGGACCTCCAACAGAAGGCCCAGGATATCCTCCAGGTCCATTAAAAACTTCTCCAAGAACCTCGAGACTCGAGGCGCCAGTACAGGGAGGTGACTCGATACGAGCTTCTCCACAGTTATTTCCGGAAAGCCAGTCCGGTAGAAGCTGACGGCCCACTCTCGCCGCGAATGCCGTGGCATCGCCACTGTCCAGGCATCCAGATGCAGGAAAGCTGCATCGGGATACCACCAATAGAAAACCGTCTCAAAGTTCTCCACCACCGACTCCCAGTGACCTTCTTTGGCGATGCCGATTGCTGTCGGCATGGAAAACCAGGTAGACCACTGCATCCACACCTGCAGTGGAAAGGTCTGTCCAGGATGCGTCAGATATCGGGACCCCAGCAATCAAAGTCGAAAAGCGTACAGCTAGAGAAAGGAGCGGTCAGGAGTCATGTAAGTAATTGTTTCTCTCCCCACGCTAGCCCTAGTCTGTAAGATCCGGGATGCAAATCCCGAGAGCTCAAGCCCAAGCATGCCCCTTCGGGCTGGAGGCCAACACCTACGACAAACCCCCCCATAACCCTCTGGGAACCAACCTTGGACCGTCAAGCCCGAATTGAAGCAAAACCCTGAAGCTTCTTTGAGTCTTTGAGCCTCTTAGCAAGTCCCAGGGGCATAATAATTCCAGCCAAACCCCGCCGCAATGATGGGAATGCACTCGGAAGTGTTGTGGCGACAAGCCTCAGGGAAACCCCGGGCCCTACTCCGGATCTATGGGGCTTTGTAGGGTTTTTGAGAGAAATAGCACACGCTTCTCCAAGAAATGCCCACCAAAACAGCCGAAAAGATTACACGAGCGATCAGGGGTCTTGGTTTCATACTGCAACGCCTAGGTGGTTGTGGGATTTGGCTACTAGTTTTCCGCAGGAATATGGGAGATGCTGACCCAAAGGGTCCTAAGCACCTCTACGGGGGACACTTTCTCCCATGTAATTCCCATTGTGGAAACCCTACTTTCTACTATGTAGGTACTTAGGACCCTTTGGGTGAGGAGCTGGAGACGGCCAGAAGTAGTCATCCGGACAGCGGGCGATGTAACCACTTGGAGTTTCGGCAACGCCTTCCGTGTCTCCGGTCACCTGTGCATAGGTCCTGATCTGGACATGACGTGCAGAGCTGTGTGTCAACTGATCCTTGGTCCCTAATCCTACTCATAGTCCGGTATGCATTGATCTTCCGCCGCGCATTACGCCCGAGGGCCCTATAGACCTAACATGAGAAAGCCCTTACAAGCGCTTTGGCCCCAAACCCGAACGCCCTAAACCCTAAGCCCTAAACCCCCTAAGCCCTTGCCTCATTTGATAATCGCTGGCCGACTCGTAGTTGCTCGAGTTGCAAGGAACAAACTGACCAGTGTCCAGGTCGGAGACACGGCTGAAGAACTTTGCCGCCTGATGCCTTACTTGGAGGTTCAGGGTACTTAGTAACCCATTATACGTGTAGTTATAACCCACCTGTAAGCCCCTCAAGTACGTATTAGGGTTATCCGCCGACCCCGCTGTTGGGTCGAGCGCCGGGAAGCGTCTTGTAATGGCAAGTGGTGCCTTCCGCCCCCCACCCCCCACCCCACCCCGCCCCCACCCCCCACCCCCACCCCACCCCCCCCCAGCCCCCCCAGCCCCCCCCCAACCCCCCCCACCCACACGCAAATTGCGCCCGACCGCCCACCCCTGCTCCTACGCCCTACCCCCCGCCACCCGAAGGCCTGAACCCCGGTACATATCTCTACATAATCCCTAACAGCCGGCCCGCCCTTTTGCGGGGTCGCCCTTAAATCCGGCCTGGCCGTCGTGGTCCAGTGCGGAGCACGGCTAGCCTAAAGGCTTGCCTTTATGCGGGCGCCGCCAGTGCCGCCGACCCGCCCTGAAAATGGCATGTCTCCTTGCATGAGGCTCTTGGGGGGATCCGGGAGGGCTCCGAGCGGGGTCCCAAATGCGCATGCGTGGAAGTGCCGAAAACATCGTAAATACCATGTCTTTTTGCGTTTTTGGAGGGCCGCCAAACGCCCTGGAGGGCTCATGATGCGTGACCCGGCGCGCATCATCGACCCTGCTTTTTGACCTTGGGCGAACATGCGAAAAAGGACCTTATACCTCAAGTTTTGGGGGGGGACCCCCCCCCCCCCCAACAAACCGGGGCGAGCATCATGAGCATCAGCGACCCGCCCCCGGGGCCACGGGAGGGCCCGGGCGCCGCAATAAAGCCAGAAAACACCGTAAATACCGTGTTTTTCGCGTGTTTCGACACACACCTCCTTTCGGGGCACTGCCGCGCCTCCACGGTGAGCATCATTGACACCCGAGGCTTCGGGGGGGTCAGCCGACGCCCGCGATACGCACCCACGGGTGAGCAAGCCCTTCATTTCTCCGGGGCCCTCGGGTCCCGGCTCCGGAGCCTCGCTGATGCTCATGAGGGCCTCGCTGATGCTCATGATGCTCGCTTGCGGGGAGGGTCCGAGGGGGCGAAAACGTGGTAAATACCGTGTTTTTTGCGTGTTCAGCAACTCCTCGTTATGCATGCAGCGCCAACCGCGCCCACGTCGCGTGGGTTGGCGCTGCTCCAAGGACGGCTCCCCGAAGCCCTGAAAGGGTGGGAAAGGCATCCAAAAAAGGTCTAGCAGGGCAGTGGGCGGGTGTGGCGGGAAAATGTGGGGGGGGGGGTGGGGGGGGTGGGGGGGGGGGGTGGGGGGGGGGGGGGTGGGGGGGGGTGGGGGGGGGGGGGGGGGGGGGGGGGGTGGGGGGGGGGGGACAGGGAACCCCATGATGCTGTTGCGCGGCGCGCGCGCGCACGCGCGCGCGCGCGAGCGCGCGCGCGCGCGAGCGCGCACGCGCGCGCCCCCGCGCACGCACGCGCGCACGCTCATGTGCACGCGCACGCGCACGCAGAGGAGTATATATAGGGTTTCGGCTGTCCTGTCGCTTCCTGTTCTTTATTCTCTTCTGCTTCCTATTCTTATTCTTTTTCTTTTGTCACTTGTCTTCTTCTTTTTGTTTATTTTTGTTTTCTTCTTCTTTCTCTTCTTCTTATTCTTCTTATTTTTAATCCTCTTGTTATTCTTCTTTCTTTCGTTTATTATTCTTCTTTTTCTTGTTCGTTCTTTTATTATTCTTCTGCTTCTTCTTTTTTATTTATTATTATTCCTTTTTTCTTTCTTTTCTTATTCTTTTCATTATTCTTTAAAGTCTTCTTCTTCTTCTTCTGTTTATTCTTCGTTTTTAAATTATTATGTCTCTTCTTCTTCTTCTTTTTCTTCCTTTACCCCTTCTTCTTGTTATTATTCTTTCTTTTCTTTTCTTCATCTTTTCTTCTTCTTTATGTTATTATTCTATTGTTTATTCTTCTTCTTCTTCTTTCTCTTCTTCATTTTCTTCCTTTACCGTTTCTTCTTGTTATTATTATTTCTCTTCTTTTCTTCTTCTTCTATTTATTATACTTTCTTTTCTTCTACTTCTGTTTCTTCTTATTTTTCTTCTTCTTCTTCTTTTTCTGATTCTTTCTTTTCTTCTTCTTTTTCTTCTTATTTCTCTTCTTCTTCTTCATGTTCTTTCGTTTCTTCTCTTCTTTTTCTTCTTATTTTTATTCTTCTTTCTCTTCTTCTTATTTTTTCCAACCTCTAAACCCAAACCCGAGTTTCAGCTTTCAGACGGCCAGGCCGGCCCGTGCCGCAAGGCCTGTAGATAATTGGGTCAGAAGTACAGTTATAAGTGGGTCACTAAGTACCATGAACCTCCAAGTATAAGTGTCAGAAGGGTCTCTCTACTTGTACCAAGGGGTGGTTTCAGTGACCCCATGGAATTTGCTGATTGAAGACAGGTGGAAAAACAGGTTTTGCGAGCAACGCCCCAAACTGCTAATCACATACCTTTCCCCATATTTCGATAGTATCATGCCTCCCTTGCAACCGTCAGCCCTTCACTATATTGCACCCTTGTAATTATCCCCACATTATGATACTATATATATATATATATGTATACATGTATACACACATACAGCCTTTATTTTGCACTTTTTGGCCTGAAATGGGTCCCCCCCCCCCCCCCCCCCCCCTAGCCGACAAGTGTTCGGGAGCAAACGGTGCATCAGGACCAGGGGGCACTTCAGCCCGCCATAGGGGCCACCCTCCCCCGCGCCACCCACCCACCCTCGAAGCCTTTTCCCACCCTCCCACACCCCACCTGCCCCAGCCCCTGTATGTTACAGAAGCTCAAGCCCAGGCGGGTCGCTATCCTCCTACAATCCCCATAGTGATAAGCCGCAGTAATTGTGATTTGTGTAGCCCCAGATGCAGGGAGGTGTTGTAGCTCCTGTAGAAGTCCAAAGCAAGACCAGCGGTGTGGTAGGCCTCTTCACGTACCGAGCCTTTCACATAGAGGGACTCCTGAGAGTGAGTGTTCAAGGCTGCTCTTCGGGGTTTAGGCTGATGAGGACTCCAGGAGTTTCACTTTGTTTGCAAGGGCTTAGGGTTTTGAGGGGTTTGAGGGTTAAGGGTTTAGGATTTCAGGTTTAGGGCGAAGGGTTTTGGGTTAGGGAGCACAAGGATTCTATTTTACTTCCGAAGATACTCGACTCGCGAATCAGCATGACGTCCCGACCTCTAGACCACTGATGCCGTGACCACAGACGCCCTACAGAATGAATAGCCCCTTCTCTTCGCTGAGGTGTACCTCTGTTTCTTTTAAAACTCTAAAAACCATAGACCATGGACCATACACCCCTAAGTCCTGATTGCAAAGACCGCTTCGTTAAGGTTCCTCTGACTTCACCTGATTCCAAGGACCCCTTCATTGAGGTACCTCGGATCTTTTTGAACCCGTTTAGCTGATGCGGAGGATATTCTGCGATAAGTATAATAAGGAACCCCCGCCCCGCCCCGAAATAGTATCCGTAATAGTTTACGCCTCTTTGTTGGCTCTGATCCTTTTGAAAGCCCCTTGTGGCTCCTGGCCGGTCCAGCCCATGGAGCCTAGCCTTCGTGGTGCCAGGCTGGGGCGTGTGGTGTCCAAATTCGCAAACTCACCGGGAGTTCCCCAGAGCCAGGTGTCCTTCAAGGGGCTTATAAGGTAGAGGGTTTAGGCCGGTTTAAGGTTTTGGGGATCTTTGCAGGTTGAGTCGGGTGATTGCGAAGCTGCGGGGCGTACGATGCGGGAGCCCTGCCCCTGGGTCCATGGCCACGTGGCTTCGCGGCAGTCTCTCACTGCAGTCTTGCGAAACGCAACCAGCTAGCTGCAACGAGCCCGCGACGGATTCCGTAGCTCGCTCAGTATTCATTGTAACGTTGTAGCCCAAAACCTCTGAGAGCAAGATCCCCGTGAGCTCTGAGGCCACCTCTGCAGATATCCAGTCATACACGACCATCCGGATCGCAGTCTCGCGAAGTCCCGCACTTTCCAAGTCCTCCTCATGGATGTTCTGCCAGCTGCTCCTCTACTGAACTTGGTACCAGTGCAAAAACATGAAACTTGAGCTGTTTCTTCGGAGTTCTAATAACCCAAAAAAAAATTCTTTCCAAGTACCCCTAAGGCTCTCTGGAATGCCATCAGGGAGGCAAAGCTCCTTGCCAGAGACCAAAAAACAAGCCAAGCTCGTCAAGCGTGCGACAGGTCGCCCGGGAAGTGCACCCATGGCTCGATGCAGCGCGAGACATAAACCCAGTTACAAACATCTCTCTGTGGTACAGTATTCATTGAGCAATAGTCTAGTAATTTATTTAGTACTCATACTGTCATAATGTAACCCCAGAAGTCGGACGTAAGCTTGAGCAAAACAAGCAGGCTCTGATTTTTAACCGACACTTACTTCTAAGCCTCACGAGCGTCGAAGTGGCTGAATTAGCGACATATCTGAGGGTCGATGAAGAGAGAGATGGAGAGAACATGAACCAGACTGGGGAAGGGAAATCAGGAATCCAACGGGCATTCGCTTGCCCATTCCGAGGTTGTATGCAAAGACAGTCCGACGACCCTCTGCTTTGCAAAAAGACCTCATCGAGCCATCAGCTGAAACAGCCGCGACACTTGGCATCCTAAATCCGAGGAATCAGGGTAACATTTAGGGTTGAGGGCTCCATCAACGAAGCCCTTCAGGCCCTCCACCCAGTAGAGGTTGAGGTTCCGAGCAGCAAGTGCCCAGGAGACTTGAGCCTGTGACTGACAGGGTTTTTCGGCTTCATCGCCACCTGTCCAGCATACAGAATGCAGCACAGGAGAATGCTTGAAGCGGATCCAACTCCAGCTATGCCGAGCCCTGCTGTCCAACGCGGTGTGACTGGAATCAGCTCGCAAAGCTGGCGCGCAAGGCATTGGGTTATCAAGACAAGGGGTGCCATTCCTGCTTCTGAGGGTGGCGCAGTTCTCAGAATGCAAAAAGCCCGGTGGAGATCCGCAAAAATGTCTGCTGCTTCGAAGGACTCTGCAAGGTTTGGACGTGAATCTAAACCACCCCTTATATAGACCACCTCTTCTCTACATCGGTAAATCTAAACCACCTCTAAAATGCCTCGATCTAATCGAGACAAACAAACAAAGCACCTGTAACCTAGCAGAAGAGTAGCATCGTGTCACGATAATTTTTTCAACATGTCTACTCATACCTCATTAGAATGACCTTAGGGCAATACTGTAGTTGCTAACTAATGCATTGTCTCGACGCACGCTCCTGAAAGCAGGCAGCAACAGAACGTGGGGAACCTTTTGAACGACCGGCTTCGACGGCTCAGATCCGCCGAAGGCCGAAGGAGACTTGCGGGACTCCTCGCGGTGATCGCGGTGATCGCGGTGGCCAGTTTCTTCGTGATGTCCTGTTGCTTAGCAACAATGCCCACCAATGAACAACGAATTAACTGCAATGTCGGGGATGCGGGCCATACTGCTTTCGTTGCAGTTGTGTATCGTTGAGGCATCGTAGTCTCGGAGTGATTGGGTGCCCCCAAGAATTCGAACATAGCAATTCATTGGGCGCTAGAGTTCTGCAGTGACCCAACCTCCAACATAGGGATGCAGACGGTCTTGGACTCAGCTGGCCATATTGGGCAGGTTCCTGCCGGCGCTGTCCGCTAGTAAACTCCGCCACTTTGCTTGCTTGGAGATATAACATGCAAGAAGCCGATCATCCGTCATTTCTCCGGTTTCCGGTAGAGCGGATGTAGAGGGGCCACACAACAGCACAACCCCACAAAACCAGTGGCTGAGCCTTCATTACCTCTACGAGCTACATGCTTCTCCAGAGACTTCTTAAGTCAGGAGGGGCCCGGGGATGGCAGGCGGGGGCAGCTGCATCAAATGCAGATGGCATGCTCGTTCTCTTGAATGTCCCAGTGGTTGTCCCACTTGACCAGTTCGAAGCTTTCTGTCTTTTCTTGGGGCATCTGGACATTCTGGAGGGTCGCCGCGTGGACGACGTCCACAGCGTCTTTTGCGCGGAGGGATCCGAGGCGCTGGATGGTGGTGATCATGTCATCTGGCGTGAAGCGGAACTTGGCTGTCTCCGAAGAAGCCACAAGCTTCTGGATGCGGCTCTTCCAGAGGGAGGGTACGTCAGACTTCGGGGTCTTGAAGGGGACCGACTTGTGCGCCGAAGTCAGCACGCAAATCACCTCCATGGCATCCTTGGGCAGAGCGGACTGCTTCAGCTCTTGCAGCCATAGCAAAGTGAAGTCGTCAAGAGCCTTGCCAGTCGACCGACATTGGTAGGAACGGCCGAAGCGCAGGACCCATCGCCGGATTCTGGCGAGGAGTGCCCTGGACTTCAGCGGTGCCTCGGACTCGAAGAGAATGCTGCTGGAGCCAAAGCACCACTCTAGGGCATACTGCTCAACCGTCGGCTCCTGAAACAGTGGCGCCGCATATTGCAAAGCAAACCTCTTGACCTTCCCCACGATCCTTGACCATAGTGGCGGGGCAACATGCGAGGACCCCCGTCTCATCTTCGTCTCAATCTCCTCAGCCTCATCGAGTTGTTGTGCAGTGTCTCGGAGGAACTGAGCAAAAATGTGCAAGACGAGGTACGCAGTAAGAATGGTGAAGAGCATTGCAAGGCAACCTCCCAAGACCCAGGTGACCTCCTGTGATGGAGCCAGGATCAGAATGACGGAGACGGTGCTGAACACCAAAAAGCGGAAGATGGCCAAACCGATCTCGAAGAAATCCAAGATCTGCGCCTGGCTGTTCTGGAAGGGCTGGACCCATGCACAGATAGCCATCTGTGCGCCGGATATGACTGGGTAGGTCAGCAACTTGGCTCTCTGATCGTCGGTTAGGGACGTGTATGTGACCAGCATCATGAAGGCGATATCCAAGCGCCTCACCACAAGATCGTACCACCAGTAGCGAGGCTCAAAGCCATTGATGAAGTAGCCGAATCTGCGCTGGTTTTCTGGGCTGTTCCTGTCCTTCAGCATACCGATGACATAGATGAGCAAAAGTGGCATGCCGACACACCAGAAACTGAGCCCGGCGATCGCAATGGCCGCAATGGACATGTGATCACTGCTCCAGCACTGCACGTCAGGATTTGGAAGGAGCCGCTGGACAACACCTGTCTCCTCCTGAACTGGTTGGCACCAAATCATCTGGAGATACTGCGACAGCAAGCCAGGCCACATATTGATCAACAGTACCTGTGTTCAGCCACAAGAAACACAATAGTTGTGCGAAAAAAGCGTGCTCACCAAACTAGCGGTTGAGCGAAGTTGCCCAAACCACCGGCATGGACTGGCCCAGCAACTGCGTCGGAGAGGGCCGTTGCGTGAAGAGGCCAAAGTCCAAGCTATCAAGGTCTGCCTCGGGGAATTACACTCAGAACTGAGCCCTCTAAGACTAAAAGAGACTCTACAAAAGCGCCTCCGCGAAAGGTCATGAGCAAGCATCTCTCGCCCACCTCGGAGGAACCTGTCATCTCAACTTCAGCTGGGTGCTTCTCAGCATCTGGTTCAGCCATGATCTTTGATGCCTGGTCCTTGAGCAACGATGCAAAGTCACTCCCGGTGACGATGGAATCTGTGGAAGCATTCTGCATGTCAGCGACAGTAGAATATTGCTGAGAAACCTGCAGGGCTAACTTCTCCAGCTTCTGTGGAGGCAGCGGCGCTTCCTGGGGAACAGAAGACTTGATGAGACAGTGTGCCAGAGCCCGGCGAACAACCAGATCCATCACGTCCTCGCCCTCACCTGAAGTGACCGCGAAGCTCTGCAAACGCCGCAGGCTGCTTTCATCCAAGCCCACAGACAACAGGCGCAACCTCTCAACAGCATCCAAATCGACAGCTTCCAGCGCGGAGACAAACTTTGGATGTTTTTTGGCAGCAGTGAGAGCTTTCTTGATGCGCACCAGGGCAAGTCGACTGTCCAAGTCTGCCAGCAGTTCCTCAGGAGCATCGATGCCTAGATAGATCTCGGGCAGTGTGAGCTCGTTAAGGACCGTGGATGCCCTGAGCTCCTCGAAAGTGAGGCTCATTCCTTGCAAATGCGGGGTTAGCACGTCTCCCAGTACTTCAAGGGCCGCCACTCGTTTCTTGCGCTTCTGTGCTGCCTCCGTGATCTCGATGCCGGCCCTGCGCAGAAGTGGGATGACCACGTAAGCCATGACAGCGCAAAGCAGGTAGGTGCACAAAATCCCAGCTGCTGGTAGGACCAGGAAATACACCCCCGGGACCTCATGCTTGGCCCACTTGGAATCCAAGGACATCCGCTCGGCCCAGCAGGAGAGCGTGAAGCTCACGGCAGACAGCTTCGAGGCGACGTCGAGGATGCTCAGAACCTGTCGGAGCCACCTTGGAGACCAACACAACCCCTAAAATGGGGGTCATATACCCTGTACTATTATAATTCCGATTAAGGTATGTGAACCATACACCCTTTAGGGTTCTTTTCGTCTCCAAGGCACTCAGTGGCCTCAGGTGGCCAGGGGTAGTTCATGCTCGCGAGGTCGTCACAGGGGTCGTTCGCCTGAGAGCACTCCTTGATCTTTCTCTCAAGGCTCCATTCGAAGACCTGCAGCTGGTTGATGTCGTAATGTGAAAGTACCGAGCACGCCGTCATGAACTGGGTCCCAATTCGAATCCTTAGTTGCTGAGGTCAGAACACCACCCGGAGTATATAGTATCCAAAAAAAAAAGGTAGTGCAAAAAGTGTACTTCTTCAGCTATGAAGAATCATGCTCGTATGAAGGCTTCGGCTGTCCCTCACTGCGGCCATGGCCGCCAAGGAGGCCACCACGAAGTTCACGAAGATGTTCTGGGTGATGTCGAGTAAAATCACGAGGGGAGTCCAATCAGCTGCTGCGTCGCAAGGTGAACAGGCATCGGGATACTTGTTCCGGGAGTAGCTAGCTGGGCATGCACCGCAAAGAATCCCGGAAGAGCCGATCACACACTCGTTTCCTCCCAAGCAGACAGACGCGCCGTCCAAAGAAACGACCTCACACCTCACCGCAAGTGTCTGCCCGGTCTGGAAGAAGCCAGGCTCGGCAACAGGCTGGCGATGTTCCCCATTCGCAAGGCCCCCGAAACAGATCAAGCCGCGGTAGTTGCAGCTGTCGCATGCTGCCAGCTCCTCCGTGCCGTTCACTGTGCTCAACCTCGCCTTGGGACGAGAGAAGAGTGTACTTCAAAGCGATTCAGAATGGCTCTGATGACTCCCTTTAAAGACAAGGGGGCATGCGGCACGGCCATGCTAAAAACGACGGCTGCTTGCAAGCTTGGAGCATGATGATCAGCAGTGCAGAAACCTCAGTCACCGGTTCACGGCTGAAAGTTTAGGCCTAAAGAGCTTCCATGGGTCTACCGATGTTGCCAGCTGCTTCTAGTTATAGGGATTCTATGACAGTGCGGGCACCATGTGCGCAATCGCCTCATGTGCTCCATCACTTGGCTGACTTTGCTCTAGGGCGGAGGAGCAATCTTGCACAGTCACCGCTCCTTCCTGGCTGTCTGCATTTTGAGGACAAGGCAAAGTGCACTCCTGGAGGCTTCGGACGGCGTTTGCAACACTCCGTGACAAGTTCCAAACGCCGTAAGCCCTGAAAGAGCCGGATAGAGCCGGTCCTCGTTTCCAGCGTTGGGCTTGAATTTTGCACGCGGGCACGGGATGCAATGCTGCCCTTCGTTCACCTCAGCACGTCGGAGCAAAACGAGCTCGCAAATGCCCCAGCACACTCTTTGCGCTCTTTAAGGGCGGAGCCTTGAATTCCGTGTCTTGCGTCTTTTGGGGGCTTACGAAAATAAGGGACCCCAAATAGTAGGATTCCTTCATAATGAGGACCCAATAATGTACCCCCGAATGTCGAAAACCCTGCTGAGCCAGGGAACTCGGGCTCCAAACCGGGTAAACCCTGCCACGCAGATGCAGTCTTCCATGCCGCTGGCTCCGCCGCCAGTGGTGACGGAGTTGTTCTGAGCACAACTCAGAGCGCTTTTTGGGGCGGGGGAACCGCGTTGGAAAAGCAGCCTGGTGCCCAAAGCAATGCCCTGAAACTCTGAGCCTCGAGCGCATCATTCTCAACGCTTTCAGGCAACCGAGCGCCCATCTAAGCCATCTTGAGCATATTTGCACATGCCTGCTCTCTGTGAGAACTCTTGGCGGCTTCTGCTTTCCCCTGGCAAGCTTCCGGGCAAGGTAGAATCACGCTGCTGCCCGGGCAATAGTTGTTGCCTCAGGGCATGGGCGAGTTTCTGGGTGCAAATGACGACCACCAATACCGAAAATAGATCAAACTGGAATCACCCCCCCCCCCCCCTCCCATACCCCCGCACCTGCCTTTTCAATACCCCACGGTTTGCATCAAAGCCACTGGGGCATTCGAGACAGCCATCCGTGCCCGGGTAGAGGCCAGGCTGGGCAAATAAAGGGGAAGGGGGGTTTGGAGTGACACGAGTGTTCTGTCTAAGTTGGGGGTTTAGGAAATTCGCCTCGGCTTCCTGCCGAGAAGCGTCTGGAACAATCGCCCCATGCGCAATTTTGTGACGCCACCCCCCCCCCCCCCCGCCCTGTGGGACCCCCCCCAATCGCTTGGAGGAGCTGCAAACCGACGCCGTGGAGGGTCCTGTCTCTCGGTGGCTCCTACAGGGAAATTCCTCAAAAACCCCCCCCTCCGCCCCCCCCCCCACCCCCCACCCCCCCCCCCCCCCCCCCCCCAACCCCCCCCCCCCCCCACCCCCCCAACCCCCCCCATCCCTTTTTTTGCGTAACCCTCTTTCCTCCTTTCCTGTCCTGCGGCCGGCCCGGCTGCCGAGGCGGCGCGCGCAAGCGTTTACAATTAAGGGACCCTTAATATAGACCCCCAAATAGTAGGATTCCCGTAAAAAATAAGAACCCCAATAAGGTACCCCTGATTTCGGAAATCCCCAGTGGTTTCGCTGGGACGAGTTCCGTTTTCATGCTGCAGGAGGGCTTCCACGGCAGAGTCCGGAGAAAACACGGGGCGACTGTTATCCTCGTCATTGCTAGCGGTACTCCGATAGGTAGCCCTCTAAAAATGATATCAAGGAGACAACATCAGACATATCCCAAAACCCGTACACCCCAAGTCCTCGCCTCACACTGGCACAGGCTCCTGGTGTTTGCGCCGGGCTGGGCTGTGGATGTCCACTGCGGGCACTTCCTAAGATGGCCCGGGAGACCCAAAACCCAACAAATCCTGGGGCTTCTACGACAAACCAGCCCCAGGAACTTGGAACGGCCATAAAGCGGTTCAGGCAAACTCCTTGTGCCAAGACTCGTGCATAGAGCGTTGCCAACAGTCGCCTCACTGACACTCTTGCCCACTACGTGCTAATGAACGCGATCATGTGAGGCTTAACCTCAATGCTCTCTTCCAGGAAATCCAAGAGCATGGCTTCGCTCTGTCTATCCCTCTCTCTCTCTCTCTATTACTATTCACAACTGATCTGACCGTGATGCCACGAGGCTGCCGGTACCAGTACGAATCGGAAAGTTCCGCAGCCTTCTGAAGACCCTGGTTCTTACCTGGTCCCAGGGCAGCAGCTACTTCATGCCTGCCTTGTAGTCCCCTTGCGCGCATGGCTCACCTAGGGTGCAGCAGCTGTGGGAGCGCAGAACGCGAGAAGAACCATCTCGCATCCTTAGCACCAGGACCCTCGAATGAAACGCTTTCAAGGAGCAAGTGCTGGCAGCTGAGTCGAAGCCGTAGCCAGGGCTGCACTGGCAGTCGCCAGCTGTGAGGACTGGAACGCCTGCATGGGCTCCAGCTTACCACACTTGAAATGTTGGGGCTTACAGCAATCATCAGTCTTGGCTTCGTGGTCTGTATCTGCATGTTGGTACATTCGTGCCTGCACAAACGTTGCAGTGTGAGCAATACGACGTGAATACAGTGGTCAAGCAGGTCACACAGACCTGTGTGGATGTGCATGAAGAAGACGGGAATCTCTTTGGATGTGGGTTGTTTAGGGTCGGGGCTGAGAGATGGATAGAGGCCAGAGGGACCCGACAGGTCGAGCTGTAAAGCCTTAGACGCTTAAATTTAGAACTATGCCATGTGCAGAGCTCCCAACGAGCCTGGGGGCACGGAGCGGTACCTGGAGCAGTGGATAGTGGCCTGCGTCGAGACACGAAGGGAAAGGCGGGGAGGTTCAGGGACTAGTTGGGGGCTCGGGGCGTCATTGGGCGGTTTTTTAGGGAGGGAGGGAGGGAGGGAGAGAGAGAGAGAGAGAGAAAATATATAAAAATAAAGGGCTGGGCCGGGGCCTCTGACAGCACAGGCGCGGACAGCCCAGTCGTCATCGAAGAAAAAATCCTGAGTGTGCTGACCCTCCCCTTCGCCTGGTTGCTTCTTTTACAGCTCTGTTTGGGGGTGTTCTGCTTGGATCAAGCGCCGAGGTCCCTGAGCTGCGATGAAGTCCAAACAGGATTCGGCTGTTACGTCCAAGAAAGATTGTAAAACAGCCCTTCAGGCCCTCATGTGGGCCCTGAAGGATTTCAAAAACCCTTCAGGCCCCGCGTGAGGGGCGTCTGAAGGATTCCAAACAATCCTTCAGGCCCCGCATGTGGGCCCTGAAGGATTTTAAAAAATGATTCAGACCCTGCATGTGGGCCCTGAAGAATTATCAAGAAATCCTTCAGGCCCCGCATGTGGGCCCTGAAGGATTCCAAAAAACCCTTCAGGCCCCGCATGTGGGCCCCGAACGATTCTACAGAATGATTCAGACCCTGCATGTGGGCTAAAAAACCCTTAAGGCCCCGCATGTCGCATGTGGGCCCTGAAGGATTCCAAAGAATGATTCAGACCCCGCATGTGGGCCCTGAAGGATTCCAAAGAATGATTCAGGCCCCGCATGAGGGGCGTCTGAAGGGTTATAAAGAATGATTCAGGCCCTCTGCCCCCGGCTCCCACCCTGCGCCTGGTGATAGATGGGGGTGGATGTAGTATTTGGGGCATGCGATGGGTGCCCTTTTTTCATGTTGGGGCATACCTATACGGTCTGAGAAGGCATGAAGGGTGACAGCTCCCGAAAGGGAACAGAGGGGAACGATCCAAAAGCGACCACCCCCCACATGCCCTGCAAGGATACCAAAAGAGGAGAGCTTCAGGAGCTGCATATGTGTCTTTGTATTTCAATTTATGTCCACAATTGCTTCCTTTTTGCTTCGTTTTCTGCTTCCTCGTTGCTCTTCCTCGTTGACTAAAAACCCCGCTTGTTTTTCTATGTCTTCCTTCCGCACGTTGTGTGCTTGCTGAGTCTCAAGCAAGAACCAGCAGCATGAAAACACATGAGCCATTCCCGTCCCTGTCAGACATGTTTCGAGCGGACGACTTGCAGTATGCGATATTATGCGATGCTTCTCTCGTGCAGGCGGGCTCCGCCTAACAAGAACTGGTTTCGTGTTTGTGGGCTTTGTGGGGGCTTTGTGGGGGCTTTGTGGGGGCTTTGTGTTTGCTTTTGCTGTAGCATTCCGAGGCGCGGGTGGTCCTCCGCGGAGGCCGCGATTTCATCAGAGACCGCGCTGACCTTGGCATGCAGCACAATGAACCGTGTCGAGACGGGGAGTGCTTCGGGACAAAAAAACTTCGCCCCAAAGTGCTTCGGGGGCAGCTGCCCTCTCGATGGCTCTTAGCTTAGCTTAGGCAACTGCTGGCGTTGTGCAGTCCAGGGGGCATCCAAGTCTGTCAGCGTTAGCCTTGCTTCGTCCAACGTGCGATGCTTGATGGTGACTGCCTGAGGTCTGTGGACCAAAGCAAAATGCCTGCATGAATGTGCCAAGATGCAGGGGAAAGTCTACCAGTGTAGTGGAAGGCAAGGGACCAGTTGCATGTTGCCAGTCAAGCGCCGCGCTGTTGTGGGGAGGAACTCCTCAGCTAACATGTTCACAGCTTCTTAGGCTGCTGCCATGCCTCCTGCCATGGCTCCCGCCCTGAACAACTCCGACTCCTTCTCGAAAGTGCAGGCAACGAGGCAGCGAGCGCTGGGCTCAGGTTAGGATAGGGACGCTCGGCTAGCACTTCGAAGACGTTCTCCAAGCATGGGGTGAGCTTCTTCTTCCCCCCCCCAACCCAAT